AAAAAACCGTACCCAGTTTCTGAATAGCCAAATGTTATCATCACACAAGCTAATCCCAGAAAACGAGTCTCAATCTCTCTGTCTCTCTCTGCACTTATAGATGTAGGATAAGTAGATAAAGATCCTACATCTTTAGGTATGTATGATAGATATCTCACTATATAAATCTGTTTCTATATATACAAACGTACGTATAGGTACATACTGATATGTGAATATGTGTACAGATATCCTATCAGGGTAGGTGTTTGGGGCGTATTATATATCTTTATTCCTTTATATATATTTCTCTATTTTATATTAATATATTTGTCATTATAGATATAATTATCTATATTGATGTAGAATATATAGATACCTAGAATGTTCATATAAATAAACAAAAACTTCCATAGCTGACCGCCTCCCTACACGGACCTCCTCCTGACATTCACCTAATTTTCACAGAGCAGACGTCACCACCTGTACTGGTCAGCACCCCAGGCCTGGTACCTTACGCTCCGTAAGTTGACCAGTTTGCTACGGTGCCTCGGGTGGCCAACGTACAGACCTTCTACTGTAATTTTTTTATTTCAGAATATCACAGCATACAAATATTTTGGTTCCATGAATTGTTTCTGTACAGTTTAAGTTAAAATTATAAATGTGGAAGTTTTCTTCTTAATTTCAGCTTAATGTGAGGGTATAAACAATTAGGTTACATTGCTTGTGCTTGTCAGGGAAAGTGCAAGTCGTAGTTGAGGCCTTTGCCCAGGACACGTGCCAGGCACCCAGCACTGGGCCCCTTTAGGAGAAGACTTACCAAGCATCCCCCCTCTTGCCCCATTTCTTGAATTTAATTGTGTCTTTCTCCTATGTGGGCATGTAGTTGTTCATCTCCTTGTTTCATACTAGTCTTGAGTACACTCGATAACTGCATTTCCATTTTGTTTGGCCAGGGCTGGGTTTGAACCCTCCACCGCCAGCATATGGGGCCCATGCCCGACTCCTTTGAGCCACAGGCACCATCCTGCAGTTCCATTTTTGTGACACTTTACTAAGGAGAATGTTCTCCAACTCCATCCAGGTAAATACAAAAGTTGCAAAGTCTCTATCTTTCTTTATGGCTGAATAGTATTCTACGATACACACATACCACACTTTATTCCTCCTCAAAGAGCTAAAAACAGACTTGCCAGGCTCAGCGCCTATAGCTCAAGCGGCTAAGGCACCAGCCACATACAACAGAGCTGGTGGGTTCGAATCCACCCTGGGCCTGCCAAACAATGACAACTACAACTAAAAAATAGCTGGGCATCGTGGCAAGTGTCTGTAGTCCCAGCTACTTGGGAGGCTGAGGCAAGAGAATCACTTAAGCCCAAGAGTTGGAGGCTGCTGTGAACCATGACACCACAGCACTGTACCCAAGGTGACAGCTTGAAGCTCTGTCTCAAAACAAACAAACAACAACAACAACAAAAACAGACTTGCCATTGGATCCCGCAATCCCATTACTAGGTATCTACCCAGAAGGAAAAAAAAATCATTTTACCACAAGGATGTTAGCACCCAAATGCTCATAGTAGCTCAGTTCACAATTGCAAAGATGTGGAAATCACCCAAGTGCCCATCACCCCATGGATGGAGTATGGAAGATTTTAAGGGGTGCACCTGCAGGCAGCAGCCCCAGTACAGCCCAGGGGAGTATTGTCATGTGTGCCAACTGTCAGTGACCAGAACCTTGCCTACGTGGCACGTGACTGTATATGTGTGTGTCAATAGAAAGATAGATGACAGATAGAGAGAGGGAATGGGGGAGAGAGAGAGAAATAGAGAGGGGGGAGAGAGAGAGTGACAGAGAATATATGTAGAGAGAGGGAGACAGAGACTGAGACAGAATAAGAGGATAGAGAAAGAGAAATAGAGAGAGAGAGAGAGAGTTGAACAGACAGGTTAAGACAGGCAGAGATAGCTAGACCACCTGCTGACTCCACTGCTCCAGAGAACCCTCACAGACACAGAGGGAAGCTAAAAGAATCCCTGCTGAACTAGGCATCGCTCAAGAAGAACCGTCAGAAGCAGGGAAGGTGTCAGGAAGGCAGGACGGCGGGGAAGGAGTCCTGGGGAGCGCCAGCCCTACAACTCCGTCTCAGGGAGGCTCCTTCACAGTGGCCCTGGGCCGGTGCCGCCCAACTCACCTGCCAGGTGGTGTCGAAGGTACTTCTGTGCTGGACCTCATACACAAGGTCAGTGTAGGGCAGGTCGGAACACGTCACGGTGACCTGCTCACCGCACCACAGGAAGTGCAGGTCTCTTGGGGAGCTGGGCTTCACTGAGCAGGAGAAACAGGAGACCGATCAGCCGTTGGACAGACCATCAAGCCGCCTCCCCACACCGGCTGTCTTGTCCCTGTTTCCACCCTTCCTCTCTTGTGGGACTTGGGCATGGTGGGGTCTTCCTACTTCTAGAGTGGAACCCTTAACTGAGGCTACAAGTACATACAGGTGTATCCTGCAAAGAACTCTCTGAAAACCACCTGCGTATCTCCCACGAAATGAGTTGTGTCCCTCTATAAAAAGGTGTGTTAAAATTCAAACTTCCCAGGATGGCAGAATGTGACTGAATTTAAAAGTAGGATGGTGGGCGGTGCCCGTAGCTGAGTGGGTAGGGTGCTGGCCACATACCCCGAGGCTGGCAGGTTGGAAGCTGGCCCGGACCAGCTAAAACAACAATGGCAACTGCAACAAAGCAGTAGCCGGGGGTTGTGGCAGGTGCCTGTAGTCCCAGCTACTTGGGAGGCTGAAGCAAGAGAATTGCTTAAGCCCAAGAGTTGGAGGTTGCTGTGAGCTGTGATGCCACAGCATTCTACTGAGGAGGACATACTGAGACTCTGTCTCAAAATAAATAAATAAATAAATAAATAAATGTAGAAAAATTAGCTGGGTATTGTGGAAGGCGCCTGTAGTCCCAGCTAGTTGGTAGACTAAGGCAGGAGGACCACTTGAGCCCAGGAGTTTGACGTTGGAGTGAGCTAGGCTGAGGCCATGGCACCTTTGTCTGGGTGACAAAGCAAGACTGTGTCTCTAAAAAATAGGGAGAGGAAGGGGTGGGCAGCGGAGAAGAAAAGAAGAGAAAAGAAAAAGAAGGAAGGAACAGAATTCTTTTCCTTTCCAGAATGGAATCTAACAATTCCAGAATAAAGAACCAATATTATTTTGGCTCGGCACCTGTAGCTCAGGTGGCTAAGGCACCAGCCATGTACAGCCATGCATACCAGAGCTGGCGGGTTCAAATCCAGCCCAGGCCCAACAAACAACAATGACAACTACAACCAAAAAATAGCCAGGTATTGTGGCAAGTGCCTGTAATCCCAGCTATTTGAGAAACTAAGGCAAGAGCATCGCTTAAGCCCAAGAGTTGGAGGTTGCTGTGAGCTGTGATGCCACAGCACTCTACAGAGGGCAACAAAGTGAGACTCTGTCTCTTAAAAAAAAAAAAAAGAATATTTTGGAGAGAGAATTTCACCACATTTGCATGCTGTTCAATCCCTCCAAGATCAAAGCACAAGCCTCCCATCAGGGAATAAACCCGGGTGGGAGGCTTTCTCTCTGCCTCCGTGGGTGGGGGCAGCTGCTCCGGGCAGCTCTGACTCACAACCCCCAAAACACAGCCTCTCCGTGCTCACTTGGTTGCCCCCATTCAGGGCAGACTCCTTCCTGAGCTGTGTTATGTGTACGGTGGAACTTTGTAGAAGGCAGAGCTCCTCCAAACTGGGGCCAAGAAGGGGGCACTGCACTTCACAGCAAAGGAGGCCACAGGCTCAGTTCTCAGGACTTACCATATTCATTGATCCACCGACTTTCCGTGAGAACAGGCTGTGGCCCGTTCCTGATGGAAAAATACAGAATCTCATCATCTTTCGTGTCCAGGAGGCAGCCGACCGTGTGGCCATGTTGAAGAATATACCTGGTGCATTGGTCGTATTCCCCATTGCTGCTGAATCTAGGAGTTGGAAAATGGCCACTTAGCCAAGGGCGGCTTCCACCAGGGCATCTCAGCAAACCTAAGGGCCGCTCCCTCCCACCATGTCCTTACTGCAGACTCAGGTCCACAGCCCCTCCCCACTGGCCACAGGCAGAGACATGTCCTACTAGAGAAGC